TTATTCAAATTTAAAATCTCAAAGATATGCATATTTCACTAGTTAAATATTGAAGAAAGTTAATATATTGTTAATAAATTCATAACTAAATGTATAAAGATTTAAACTCTAAGGCAGAAATGTTAGAGCAACCAAGAAAAATAAATTCTTTCAAGATAGATGGAAAAATTTTGTAATTATAGCTTGTTTTGTAGATTTATTCTCTTACTAGCGATATAATGCTTGAATTGGATAAGACTCGTATCCAAATTTTCAACAAGAAGGTATCCATTAGTTTTTCCTTGGAGACAATTTAAGAGCTTAACAGTTAAATTTTCTATCTAAATATTTTTTGAAATTTGTCCAATGGAAAAGATATCCTAAAAGTCTTCAAATCTTATATCTTATGCAATATAGAAACTTTGTTTAATGAAAAAGATTGTGTGCATATTTTTAAAACTATTATTAGTATGTGATTCTATATGGCTGTTATAGAGGAGTAATTTTACAAAGAACGTTCTACTACAAATATGGTTGTTGCTGTTATAGGCAAAAATCTGTTCTGAGGAAAATTTCGATTTTATAGTGAATTATAACTTTGTATCTAAGAAAAGCTAAAAAAAAAAAAGATTTCAGATAAATAATAAAAAGAAATTAAAAAATTAAGGCCCATCATAACGTTTGGCTTTAGGCCACAAAATTGGTCGGATCGCCCCTGAGTGAATGACTATTAAATATGTTGTTATAGAGTGGGTTGACGATATAACTATTTCATCCTAAAGACTTTAGCCATTAGAGAAAATTTCTTTTTTTTTTTTACTTAATTATTATGTTCAACTCATTTACGTATATCTAACGAATCACAAAGAGGAAAAATTGAAATTAGACAATTTGCTTTGTGTAAGCCTTTTATCATCTGATTATTATATTTTTGGTATCGGGTTCTTTTATATTTCAGGGGAAGAAAAGAGAGATTTTCATGTTTTAGTTAAACTAATGTGAAAATACTGTCAGAAAGCAAAATAACAAACGATTCTTGAATGTTTTTGGTTGATTATCAAGAATATAAAATGTGTAAAAAGTTATATTTTACTTTGACGGTATCAACGGAATGACAACTGATCATTTGCTCTGTGAAATTGGAAATGAAATGAAAGTGTCTAATTTTACTAAGAAGAAAAAGAATGAAGTAGCACAAATTAAGATTGTATTCGATATGTTAATTAAAAGTTGTTGTCCTTAAATGCATGAGAAGTCCTTTTTCATTTGTCAATTTGCTTGAAGTGGATGTGTAGTTTGCGAATTTTATTCAATTAAAAGGTATATGTTGTAACATACCGTAATGGCCAAAAGAAGAAAAAACTAGTGTTTCAATTAATAATGTGGCTTAGAAGATGGAATCAATATTTGCTTAAGCAAATGCTAATTATAGAGGTGATTTGAGTGATAATCAATAATATGCTTGGGCCAATGATACTATCACAATCCCATTAATTTATGATGAGACTTGATTAATTAGTCAAATTGCACCAAAGTTGATTAGTGGAGCATAGTCAACTTTACATGATTTAACCACAGAATCAAATAAAAGTTTAGGATTAACTTTGTTGTATTGTCCCCCATTAATAAATTTGGTTGTACGACAAATAGGATAGGAACACACAGATGAACTCCTTAATGACGTAGTTAACAATAATTATGAAAAAATAACACTGTATAGTCTCTGTAAAAATAATAATCGAAATAATGTATAAGATTTGTATATATATACATTTTGTATGTTATATACAAAAATTATACACGTTTTATATACTTTTTCGGCTACCCAATATAAATAATTTCTGGCACGAGGTAAAAGTGATAATACCCCAATAATTAAGAGATGCGAGCCCAACAGTTTAGCATCCTCTTCCTTTTGTGTTATTTGATGATTATTCTGGTGTTAGATTAAGTTTATGTTTTTGTTTATTTAACTTCAATATACATAAATTCTCCTACAATCGATCTAGTTAAAAACAGTCATGTGAACCCGTGGTCCTGGAGTTAAAGTATAGATATAATGTACATAATTTGANTTATATCCAATTGCCTTAAGGTCATGGGATTGAATCCCCTACCAACTTTTTTGTTTAATTTTTTCGTTAAAAGTAATGGTGAACCCACCCTTCAGAAATTCTAGATCCGCCTCCGGTTAAAAATTATATTAACGCATCGAGGAAAAACTGACCAACGCAAAAATAAAGTTCCTAAGGAGACCAAAACATCGTATTTGCAATAGCCATTTTTTCCTCTAGGGAATGGGCTGTTCTTTAACTTTTCTTTTTTTCACTTCAGCGACAAACTTGCTAACACAATGCAGCTTCCAATTTTTTGTTACGCAGTTTGATATTTAATAGGAGTAGTATTTATTCTATTTTAGTTTAATATGACATCATTACTAATTAAGATTGATGTAAATAGCCGTCCACCTAATCTTTTAAAGTAAAGATAACCGGCGAATGTATAAAATATGTATAATTGTGTATAAATAGTGACCGGTTAGAGAAAATGAACATTGATTCTACCTTCCTATTTGTATAACAATCCTTGTTTATATCACATTAGCATATGTTTGTGAACATCCAAATGTTAAAGTCAAAACTTAGTAATTATTGTTACGAATAGAGAAAAAAACATAACTAGGCAATTTTTAAAGAAAATTTGCAAAACGATAGCAACATTAGTTAATTACATTTACGGCACCTAAATATTAACATATCATAATACCTTTCAAATAAATGCTCCTAAAATTCAGCCGGACAAGAATCAACCCCATTGCAAAACTATAGCAATTGTTCCTATTTTTTTGCTCCGATTTTTTATCTTCTGTAACTGATCCAGTCCTTCCATTCCTTTTTGTCTTCCCTTTTCTAATGCCTTTCTTCTTATTTTCTTTTTGTATATGCAAAATTCTTCTTTTCGTTTCCTTCTCTGGAGTTTAAATCTGGATAATAACATATTATTTTAATATGCTATAACTTTGACCGGTAGTTCTTATATATTTTCTATTACAATGATATATGTGACAAATTATATAATAATGGTATATATAAAGTATAAAATACCCAACTTTAAAGATTATGTATGGTATATTTTGTTTGTTTACATGTATTATGATGTATATATATAATTTATATATGTTGTATAAAATACATATAAAGAATATATATGGCATATTAATGGAATATTTACATTATAAATTATCACACATATAGTATACTTGAAATATATTAAAATATATTAAAGGTATATTTTGAGTAAAAATAAAATTATACAACAAAAAAGTTTAAAACTTAAAGAAAATAAAATACTAAAATTCCCATTGTGCAACCTCTTTAAAGAGGGACTTATTTTTGAGATATTCTTTTTTTAGAATCTTTGATATATTTGGGTAAGTATTATTTATGGGAAAAAAAAATATATATGGCATATTGATGGTATATTTACATTATAAATTATCACACATATAACATACTTGAAATATATTAAAGGTATATTTTGAGTAACAATAAAGTTATACAACAAAAAAGTTTAAAACTTAAAGAAAATAAAATACTAAAATTCTCATTGTGCAACCTCTTTAAAGAGGGACTTATTTTTGAGGTATTCTTCTTTCAGAATCTTTGATATATTTAGGTAAGTATTATTTATGGAATAGAAAAAAAAATATGGAAGAGAGAGAGGGAAAAGAAAATGTAGTAGAAATGTATTGATGGAGAGGAATCCCTTAGTTAATGAACTTACCAAAGTGAAAGTGCTAAAAAAGTAAAAAAAATATGTCATTTTTGGAATAAACAAAGATTGCTATCATTTATGAGAATACTGTTTAAAAATAAAGCGAAATTCAAAAATAGCCAGATTTACAACTGGTCGTTCAAAAATATGTCAGTTTCAAAAGTAATCGAAATCTAGCCACTTTTCATATAAAGATAAATCTGAGCGAAAATACTGTTCAAAACCAAGAAAATCCGCCAGTATGTTATACTGAAGTTCCAGGATAAGTATGCTGGAACCCCAGACCGATGCTCCAGTCTCCAGTATATTATACTGGAGTCAGCAAAGTATACCGGTCCAGCATAATATGCTGGAGTTCATACACAAGTGCACCGAACTCCAGTATATTATGCTGGACCGCTCTCTGTTACAGTAAAATAGTGACTATTTCTCATTGACTTCGTAAACACCGGCTATTTTTGAATGACCAGTCCGAAAACTGACTATACCGTGCTATTTTTACTGTAAAAATTCCTTACGAATAATACTCGAATCAATTCCAGCTATAGGTCGTCAAATATCATGGGCCGCTGAAATTCTTCATGGGCTTTTGGCCTAGTAGAGACTTGGATAGCTTTACCGGATTGTTATACAAATAGCCGGCCAGATTCAATGATTATTTTCTCTGGCCGGTATACATAGAATATATATTGATTATACATAGTTATACATATACTATATATAAATTATACATATATTATATATCCGTCGGTTATTTTTAGTTTAAGAGATTAGGTGGACGGCTTTTTGGGTTAATTCTTCAAAAACCTATTTGAATTTTTTTTTATTATGAACCACTTTATTGTCATTCCGCTTGTCCCATATTGCTAGAGTTTGTCCATTGCCTTTTCCTTCTCTTCGGAAATTAGATCAAACAGTTTCATGTGTTTTTCAAGGAAGCGCTGGAAATTCCGTAACAAGTTGGTTTTTTTAATGATAAAAGAACATCATGTGTCGTCAAATGTTCAATATTTTGTTTAATAAAATTTAATTGCGTAAGTTAGTTTAGAAAAAAGAAACTACATAATCTCATAACTTGAGTTGCGTCTATTTACAGTGAGAACTGAGAAGTACAAAAATAAGATAAGTACATCAACTTCTTGAGATAAGTACAGATTTTATATACATTAGAGTACAAGATAACTATGAGATTAATATAAGATAGAGTTAAGAGTTCTAGTACTTGACTACTTAGTCCGTTCTATGGATCCAAGAGACCAAAAGCGCTATATTTTTTCCATATATATTGCCTCTTTCTGGTTACCAATGTAGTACTTATCTTTCCTATCACCAAAAAACCTAAATCAAACAGTTTAATAATGGTTCATTCTTGCTTGTCTTATATTCCAACTGAGCGTTGTAAACCTCTTCCAGATGACATATGGATGGATATTCTAAGCAGACTTCCAGCAGATCTAAGACCTAATCCGTTGCCAACTTATCTGCAGGTATTGGAACTTTTTAATATCAACACCACATTTCAATGACTTGTATATGAACCATGGCCCTGCTCCTATTTTGGTATTCCAAGAGATATCATTCGAAAAAGTTCCAAAGAATCTACTATTTCTCGGGGAATGGGACGAAAAGCATCAAAAAATAATTACTACTTCCTCTGTTCCAGTTTATGTGAACCTCTTTCCTTTTTGGTACGATCCAAAAAAAATGACCTCTTTCTAAATTTGGTAACAATTTAGCTTAAACTTACAATTCTACCCTTAATGAGAAGCTTTTATAATCACACAAATGCTCTGGCACCTTTTTGACTTGTTTAGGACCACAAATTTTAAAAGTCTTCACTTTTTCTTAAACTCTGTGCCCAGTCAAACAGGGTCACAAACGGTGGGAGTACTAATAAAAAGATTCGAGTGAAATCAAAACTGTGTGGTGCTAACAAGTACTACTACAATTGTCCTAAACTCGAGTTTTCGCACCATGGCTTGCTCTTCTTTAATCACAAACAAAACTGCGACCAAAGGTTATTGTCCTATAATATTGTCAACCCTGTCAACATACCTTTGCTATCCCATGTGGTAAAATTCGTGCATTCTTTTCTCATCCAGTCACCAAGGAATATTAGTATCTCCTATGGGTAGTTATAGAATTCAATATGCTTAGGCTTGACTTATTGGTGTCCAATAATCTGAATTCTGATACAGGTAGGCTGGAAAGATTGTAAGAGGATTCTAAAAGCGAAAAGCCTAGAAGACTTTCTACTCAGCTTGAAAAGAAAAGAAGCCTCAAGCCGATAAGTCATCATGTTCGATAATTTCGAAAGAAGACCTGAGGGCTGATCTACGACCAGGCTCGATCTGGTTTAGTATCAAGGTGATTCTTTTTCTGTTAAACATGAAGTTGTGTAATAATATGTATTCTTTAATATTTCCTTCGGATCGAGGATCTCATATAGTTAAAAAGGATACTATTTATTGGATGAATGGATCTTTTTATAATGGTTATTATCATACTTGCGAACTGTCAATCATTATATTTGACATAAAAAATGAGGAATTTGATGTGATATCTCATCCGCGAGGAATATGTAAAATCCAGATTTTACACGGAGGATATAGACAGATGCACCTCTTTGAAATGGAAGGCCATGTCTCCTTCTGCAAGTTTTCAATTTTCAGTGATGGTAAGACGTCAATGGATACATGGATTTTAGGAGATGATCATTATACGTGGAGCCGAAGGGAGACGATAATTCTTGATATGACTTATGAGCTGAATATTTATGGGTATCCAGGGGACGTAAAACCCATTGGAATCTTAAATGGTGAGTTGATCATTTGTTGGGTTTCGTCAAAATTGTTTGCTTTCCATCTGCAGCGACGAACCATGAGGAGCTAATAGAGTGGGACTGGAAATACTCCTACGTCACCAATATGTGCATACACAGGAATATCCTTCTTTCTTTGAAAAACTACTCCAAATTTCAAAATCATCGCTGTTGCACGCCGAGGTTAACGTGTTTGCTATCGAAGTTAAAAAGAATTAACTTTTTTTTTTCTTCCAAAGTTGACTTTGTGTCACACCCTTTTCCTACCCCCAAATGATATAATGTGTGTTATGAGTTTGTGGGTTTGACAAATTTGAGTAGGAATTATTTTATTTATAGAGTCACCACTTGGAATTAAATTTTTCGTTGTTCCAAGTCATCATTTATTTGAATCCCTATTCAAAGGAAGGTTGCCTATATTTTTTTATCGGTCCGTAAAAATAAAGTTTGGGTAAGGAATTCTGTTGACCGAGGAGAAGGTGCAAGGCATTCCCCGAGCCCCGTGGTTCTAACACAGTCGCTTTATTGACTTAAAACTTGGCTTAAATTAACTTTGGACAAACTGTGATTTACATGATTTTCATGTTTTACCTATCCGCTTTTAATCTCTTGATTGTTAGAATTATTAAAAAATATTTGGGTAATAAGATGTCATAATCACACTACGCAGGCGAATGCGTGATCAAGACGAAATTTATTGATTTAGTCATAATAGCGCTACGCAAGTGAATCCGCAATCATGACAAAAAATTATTAACACATTATTACATTTAAGAGAAAGAAAAAAAATTTAATTTTTTTTTTTTGAAATTTATTAAATGTCAACTATCGCGCTAACGCAAGCGAATCCACGATTATAGCAAGGGATTAATTAAGAATTAATTAAGCTATTGAGATCATTGAACTAATTTAATAAAAGTTAAACATCACGCTACGCGAGCGAGTCCGTGAATAAAAAGGGCTAAAAGCGTGCCTACTAATTGCCTAGCGTTTAAATTAATTGTCAAAAAGACTAAGTTATAAAGTTATTTAATTATAAAAAGAAAAATCTGATTGTTAATTGGCAAAAGAAACTATGTACATGAAAGTTAGGTAAAAATAGCACGGTATAGCCACTTTTCGGATTGGTCATTCAAAAATAGCCAACGTTTACGAGGTCAATGAAAAATAGCCACTATTTTGATGCAATATAGACCGGTCCAGCATAATATACTGGAGTTCGATGCACCTGTGTATGAACTCCAGCATATTATGCTGGACCGGTATACTTTGCTCGCTCCAGTATAATATACTGGTGACTGGAGCACCGGAGCTCCAAACTCCAGTATATTATACTGGACAATTATATTTGCTGGAACACCGGTATATCATGCTGGAGTTCTAGTGTACTTATGCTGGAGTTCCAGCATGCTTATCCTGGAACTCTAGTATAATATGCTGGAGTTCAAGCATACTTATGCTGGAACTCCAGTACAATATACTGGCGTATTTTCCGGGTTTTGAACAATATTTTCGCTCAGATTTATCTTTACATAAAAAATGGCTAAATTTCGATTACTTTTAAAACTGGACTATTTTTGAACGACCAGTTATAAATCTAGCTATTTTTGAATTTCTCCCTGAAAGTTAGGCCCTAGCTTGTGGTAAATTTGGGCCAACTAGTGAACTAACCTATTATTGTATTAGCGGGCCAACAATTTATTCAAAAAAAGAAAATGTGCGTTATCAACTTTACTACACGATTTCTTGGGCCCAGTAGATTTTTCAATTATTCTCGTAACTATACAGCCCATTAACAATTACATAACCTTTTTTCCAATTCCTCCAAGCATACACACACGTCGAATTAGAAATGCCCCAATTCCTTACTTAACTCCACCATTCTAATAATATTTTATTCTTTTGACAAGTTAACAAGGATTAAAGGGAAAAAATTCTCTGTTTTGGCATTATAAAAAATGGAGGAGATAAAAAAAAGATTAACTTATCAATTACTACCAAAGCATATGACAAACTAAAGAAAATTCATGGCATCCACATTGTAATCCAATATAGCAATGTAAGAATAGAAAAAAAAAAACAACAAATAATATAACTAACATGGCAAAAGTTTTTTTTTTAAACTAGAACAGATAAACAACAGATGCATCCACAATTTAGTTGCATTCGAAAATCAGTTCTTTTATTACTATATGCAATTCTCTACTTGCACATAAACATGGATAGCAAAAAGGATAATCTTAAGAGACCAACTCTATAACAGTCCAAAACCTTGTGATACAATATATTTTAAGGCAACTAGTAGACTAACAGAATATTATTTCACCCCAAATATAAAGAGAAGTTAAAGTATTAACTAAGGTATTCTAGATTTTGTACACCGGAAATATGCACGCGTCATTCAAACACTCATTTCTTCATTAAGTCACAACAAGCATGCTCAAATAATAAAGGCAGGCTGGCACCTTCAACATTTGACATCGAGAATCTGCATTACAATAGATTTAAAAGTTACCTGAATGGCAAAAAATCAAAATACAGCAAATATGGAACTCTGGAAAAAAGCCAACCAACGAGCACAACAAACTTTCGACAGCAAAAGAGAAACAACAACAGAACAGTCCAAACAACATCAATCTTTTAAACTCGATACGAACCAGAAACTCAAACCAAAAACTCACCGACTTAGGAAAGGAAGAAAGAACTCACAAACTTTCAGTTTTTCAGCTCACTTTACGATGTTCAGCTGCAGATTTTTCTCAAAGTTTTGTCTTTTTCTTAGAGTGTGAAGGATGTTCAAGTTATCACTTTTTCTATTTTTCTTCTTGTGTCTTCAGGATGTTCAAAAACTACTCCCCCTTAATTGAAAGAAAGACCTCCTCTTTATAGGAGAGGAGGGACATGATTTCATTATGAAAATCTGTTCTTTGGACATAATCTTTACCAAAAATCTGTCCAAACTATTCAAAGGATAGATTTTTGGTTAAAAATCTGTCCAAGACACGGTTTTTTTGATCAAACAATGACAGACATTTTGGAATTTAGTACTCAAAAAGTCTTTGAACAGTAAAAAGTGATCAACTATGTCCCTATACTCAAGTATTCAACCTTTTTTTCAACACATGACTGAAATTTAGCTTATATACTTAAACTCAAACCAACTATGAACTAACTAAACAGAAACAAGACTTAAAATGTAATTGAACTAAATATTCAAACAAACTAAACTAAAGCCAATCGATTTATGGGAACTAAATAGTAGACGATTGTAATAAGGAAACACTACCTAAAATACAACTTAAATGAACATTGAGAAGCTATCGAACAACGATTAATATTAACTTAAACAACGACTAACTAAACGACGATTCAGCGACAATAAGATCAATTTGGTCGATGAAAAATTAATAAACAACTAGGCTAAACAGAGACGACTAATCATCAATCACACTATCGATCAAAACGAACAAACAAAAAGCAAAAATTCAGAAACTAAAAGAAAAAATAAAAAGAGTTAGGGGTTGTACCAAACGAACCAAGCCGACTCTCCTCAAATCTCAAGGGTGATGCAAACCGCAACAAATTGACCGCCTGAGCACTATTTTCTCAATGGCATATTCTGGGAAACACAACTTTCGGCATTATCGGGGTTAATTCCAAATCATGCCAAAGAGAAAATAGTGGGGGGGGGGGGTCATATTTACGCACAAAAGAAGAGTTTCAGGGGTCGTTTGGGTGGTGGAGCAACGGTGATTGGACGTCGGTAGTGGGATGGTGACAGTGATTGCGGAACGGATTTTGGGGGTTAAATTAAAGGGGAAATGTATATTTCCTAGAGATATGCACGAATATATGAGGCTTGTGTGGTGGGGATGATTGGTATGTCACTAATTTGAGAAAAAGAAGAAAAAATTGGGCGGCTAAGGTTTCAGATTTTGCTATATTTGTGGAGTTTGGTGAGGATTTTGGGGATTTGGGATTAGGATATGGAAAGAGGAGGAAGAGACAAAGAGATGGTGAAAAAATGGGGCCGATTGGAGGTCGTCCGCCTGCGGTGACGATCTCCGGCAGCGGAATAGGGGCGGCGGGCGGCGGGTGGTTCTTGTGATAGAGGAGAGAGAAAATAGAGGAGTGAAATAGATAATAGGGCAAAATGAGGGCAAATTTTGGCTTCTTTAGGTGTTAAATACTAAGAATGAAGATCAAATTTGGACCGTTGGATCAAGGGGCTATGAATGGATGAGATTAAATCTCTGTCACTTAACCAAAACGACGTAGTTTTTATATAAAACTACGTCATTTTGACCCTCCTATGGCAGCCCCATTTGGGACCGGATCTGGGCTCTTTGGGCTTCTAGTTTTGGGCCAATTTTGTCTCAATTTCAATTAAAATAACTAGCCCAATCACCTACCCCCTAATTATCTTATTTAGTCTTAAAGAAAATATACAAGTAGAAAGAAAAATCTTTTTGGAATATATAATTTAAAGATGCAAACTAAAATATACAAATAAAAGGTAAAAATATTTTTGGTATTTTTAATAAAGGAATGCAATATAAAAAATGCACAAATAACTAAAAATCATCCAAATACTAGTATTCTAGGAGAATTAAAAGCATGAAAAAATTAGGTATTCACAGCTGCCCCTCTTTGCTCGAGAACATGAAGAGTTTTCGTGCAAAGAAAAGTGAACGTCATGACTAATTTTTGCTCACATATCACTCCAATGAAAGCATTTTTTTAAAAAAGTGACCGAACTTTGCTTCTAAGGTTGCCTACATATCCTTGGCTATAAAGAAATCAGGTCTGTGTAGTTCTAAAAAAATTTTGGTAGCTGGGACTACCAGAAACTGGAGTTAAGAATGTTGTTGTTGTTGTTGTTGTTGCTGTTGTTACTGTTACTCGCTTCTTACATCAAAAGAAATAGAGGAGAGCGCTACATTTGTCTGCAAACTAAGAGTACAAAATTCCTATCTATGTGTCTTTTGGAGTCAAATCTTGATTCTTGACATGCTCGCTTGTGTTGACCTTAGATTGGATCTTGATGCCTTTTTTTGAAGAAAAGATTATGGCTCATTCTCGATTGCTTGATTTTCTGCTCAGAACTTGAAAAGATGAATCTTGAGAAGCCGAGTTGTTGACACCTCATCGAAACTAATTCCAACTATCTTATGATCAACAATCTTCTTTCTTCTGATGAGAACTGAAATTGCCAGCTTTAAACTCTACAATATGTGCTTTACGGCAGGGTCCTGCAAAGCCATCAAAAACGAACAAAATGGACAAATTTTTTCTGCCCCGGTCTGGCACTAGGAAAATTTTGTGAGTTATTAGAGAAAACTTTAAATTATCTAATTCACTGAAAGAAAGACAAAGACAATAGTATAAACTAGTATGTAAAGATAT